AATTAATATGAGCGTTTAATTCACTGTCGTTAAATTATTATTTATAAAAAACTAATATATGACTGTGGATTTTTTTGTATATCTATCTATACATTTTATTATAGTATTTTTTTTCCTCACCTTAGAGTTATGGCGCCACTAAACCATAGCAGAGTTTTCTGTTTTTTATTATTTTGCTTTTTATATTTTATTTTAATCAATTTTATTGTGAAAAATGAGATTATGAGGCGTGCACTTTTGGATTTTCCAAACTTTTTTATTTTATAGACGTGGAAATTTTTATTCAAATTTTTTCATAATAATTTAGTTGTTAAAGAAATCCAAAAAGTTGATAGATGTGTGTTAATTTCAGTATCATAAAATTAATAACAAAATTTAAAAACAATTTCATTTCTATTTAAATTTCATTTTAATTAAGACCTAAAGTTACTAAATATTACTTATTCATTATCATAACATTTTCTAATACTTCAAACTTGTCAATTGTAGCAAATTATTTTTATTGGTTATTAAGATTTTTTTTTTAATTTTTTTTATTTATTTATTTACCAGGATACAAAAGTATATACATACAAAGTATGCACCTATAAAGGTGTTTCATTTAACACCTGTATATAGGCCTGGGAAAAGTTAATTAACAATAACAGAGCTTATCTTGAAACAAGTATCATTTACAAATATGTAATAAAAATACAGTATAATATGAAATACGTGATTTAGTGCCTAAGTGTTACAATCCACTTTATAATTTTTTTCTTATTAATCTTATTTCTTAAGTTTTAAGTCTTTAATGTTTGTGGTAATTGGTTATAGTACTTAATTGCTACATACTTGGAGTTCTTACATGATATGTTTTTATTAATCTTAGGTAACTGCAAGGGCTTAGCCCTGGCTTTACTCTTTTAGTTGTTATATTCTTCTTTACAATAATAATAATGATAACATAATGACTCTACTATAAATTTTTCATCAATACCTAGCATTGGAGTATTATCATCTTTATCATCACATAGAAATCGAATTAATTTATTTTGTATTCTTGCCAGTACATTAATTGCGTTTTTATAGCTGCTCATCCCCCAAGCAATAATACCATAGTTGACTATACTATCAAACAGTGCATATTAGACTATCATCTTCAAGGTCTTTTTATTCATTATGTTTCTTAGCTTGGAGAAAATGAATAAGAAATATCTAGTTTTTCTTATAATCTCTTTAATATGATTATACCATCTCATATGATAGTCAAAGATCAATCCCAAATACTTACAGCTATCAACTCTATTAATAACTTTATCATAAATTTTTAATACAAACTTATCTGGTATGCTATCTTTATATAAACCAAAGGTTATGTAATTTGTCTTATCTACATTTAAAGTTAAAAAGTTATTGCACATCCAATTCCCTATTTTATCGAGTTACTCAGACATTTTTAATTGTGCTTCTTCCCAGGTCTTACTCCTATTATTGATTATTAATTAAATATTTAATCCTTAAATACTTTAAATTATTATAGAGGATTGCGGTGTTTGATTTAAAAGAATTTACCTGGAAAATGGAAAACATTGATGGAGATGAAAGTCAAGCAGTACATTTTCCAGAAAAAAGATTGGATTATGATGTAGCTCAGTACAGGAACCGACTAACTGGTGATATGAATGTCATTATAACAGGAGGATATTATAAGAGCAATGTTATTTATAGTGATATATGGGAACTAAATCTCACAAGTTTCAAATGGAAATACTTAGGATTGATGCCGCCTGGATGAAGAGGTTGTTACACACTCGACGACCGTTTCACCTTATGGTCAGTTATTTATCTTTGGAGGAATAATGAAAAACTCGAACGGCATAGTATGTATTTTTGTCTTGTAATTTAATCTTAACCCTTTAGAGTCAGAGGATCTTGAAACGTCTACGCGTGAGAGTAGTGGAAGGAGCGCAAATCTGTAGTAAGACCCAAGAGTGGGGTTTCAAGGTCAGACTCTAAAAGGGTTAACTAATCTTATGGATAAATTTTGTAAGTTTGTTATTTATGTGTTTTAGCACACATGTTCACCTGCAGTTTATTCAATCTGGCTTTCTATTCCGAAGTTAGAAAATATTTGTTGGCTAGCTGTTCTGCACTATTATCCGAATTTAGCTTTAAAAACTAAAGAAGAAGTAATGTCACTAGGAATCTCATGGGAAGTATTCCAATCACGTGTTCACTAATTTCATTACTTGATTCCATATAATCCTTTACATACTGAAATATTATTTAAAAAATTTTAATTATTTTCTCATTTACAAGAAGCTTATTTAATCGAAAAATAACAGAATTATAGAGTAATTTTTGTTGTATAGATTATATCACGTTGTATTTTGTTGTAAATTTTATTTTTAACAAAGAGAATAAGATAGAAAGAAAATAATTAATTCTTTGGTTCCAAATAACGAATTTGTATCTCAAATTGTTTATCAAAGCTTTAAAATAAAAAACAAATAAAAAATTTCAATAATTAAAAAAAATGATCAATTTATTTCTTTATACTTTAATTGTAGTCTTATATGTGTGATTCTCTGTAGGATGTTTTTCGCTGTCCCAGGCATTTTTTTATTGGAAAAGTTGTTATTTTGTTACTAAAAAAAATTTGTTACGAAAGTAAAAAAAAAAAAACATTCCTATTTAGAGCATTGAAAACTAAAATGAAATATATTTTGGTTTTTTTGCTATAAATTCGTAAACCACCGAAATAACAGTCCCCAGTCCCCTTACAGAAAATCACCTATATAGAAGAAGATATTGAAGTTAACCGACATTAGAAATTTTTTAATAATTTTATAGCAATAAAGTTATTAAGAAAAAAATTCTACATGTAAAAATTTAACGAAAATTGTTAGTGGAAATTTTTTAATTTTTTATTATAATTGATTTGACATAAAAATTTAAAAAATTGACAATTGTCAGTTAACTTCAGTATTATATATAGAAGATAAGAATATTAGAAAGATCAAGTGTTATTACATGATTCAAATGAGTGTAATTACCAGGTGGCGTTGTGTGTATTGTCGCATATATATAAATATATAAAATATATAAAAGACAGGCGCAGGTTGCACTGCGTCACTTCAAGTGGTTTTTTAAACTTTTTCCACAAATCCAATTCCAAATAATCTAAAAAAATACAAAAATATATTTTAATAATACAAACATTTGTTAGAATCTACGGATAGAAACAAGTATTTTTAAGCTATTCTCATGTAACTTACTCATGTAATACAAATTCAAAAATAAAGATATTTATTAAATAAAAAAAATAAAATACTGCGTCACTTGTTGCGTTCCAACAGCTTTGAATCATATGTCAACGAATTTGTAACCTATACAGTGAAAATATTTCAATAATAATTATTATTAAGGAGGTCCTTTCGCCGCCAATGTAAAATAAAAAATATTAGATTATGAGTAAATTCAATTTTTTTCTAATAGTTAAGGTCCTTATTTATCTAATAGTGAGGTTTAAACTATACTTTACCGGACAAATTTTTGAAAAAATAAAATTTTTAAATGCTAGTATTTGTTCAGAGTCTTACGAGAAAGTCAGACGTTTGCAGTATTTCTCGAATTATACTATCAGTCATGGATTAGATGAAGTAAAAAAAAAACTAAAAATTAGATTTTCGAAATATTCAGGTTTCTTTTTTTGCAATAAAATATATCAGTTACCGAGATATTTATTGAGAAATTAATATTTAAAAATCACAAAAAATTCTCAAGTAACCTACGTTAAAATGGAGTCAAAACATTTGGCAACGTTGCGTAGCGCGCGAGCTTCAGACCATTCAATAAATTTAAACTAATTTATTTATTTACACTGACTGCAAAAACTTAAACGTGGTTAAGGTTATATTGTGCAAATGAAAATGTAAACAACCGAAGTACAGCGTCGCCGAATCACGGACAGATTACTTGCAGCTGATTTGAAAGAGTCAAATTAATTTTTGTATTTAACTATTTTTTTTTTTTATTTTCAAAATTTCAACGATTAATGCCTCATATACTATTTATTATTTAATTTTAGGAATTTTTATGGGTTTTTTATTTTAATTTATCGTATATTGACTACTACAATTGTTTTGACTCAACTGGAGCGAAAGGATTTCCTTAATAAATATGTATTCAAGTAATCCATTCAAGTTCGCTGAACACGTCACCAACAGTGCTGTTTTGCCGAAATGTCGCACGGAACCAATACTGTATTGCGACGGAGAAAATTTGTACAGTTTTAGTGTTCATCATTTAAACTTGATGGTATTGAACTTGCAAACAAGATTGTGGCGGCCCGAGAAAAAATGTTTCTATATAATCATATATAATTGTATATAATCATATATGATTATATATGGAATCACATATATAATTATATAGAATTATATATAATCATATATAATTATATATAATCATACATGATTATATATGGAATTGTGTATGAGGTTATATATAATCATATATAATTATATATGACTATATATGGAGCGATATACAACCATGCAGGATTATATATAGTTCCATATACAAATATATATAAGTATATAAAATTATATATAAGTATATAAAATTATATATAGAATTGTATATGAGGTTATATATAATCATATATAATTACTAGCTGTCACCCGCCCGCTCCGCTGGGCATTTTATAGAATTGTATTTTGAGATCTAGACTTGAAATTCAATCGGAGTATTGTTTTGACTTGCACAGATTCCAAATTCTATTGGATTGGCCTGAACCTTTTATCCATGTCATCATTCTAGCGAATATCCATTGTAACTTTCAATGTGCAATCACTATAACATTCCCGTGGCTTTCTCCAAAAATAAATAATAATTTTTGGATTTACGATTTTAATATTTGATTTTACTAAATCTCTTAAAATGAGTACACGGAGAAAATAAAACAGCAATGATTACTGTTTCGTACAAATATTAGAAAAATGTTCATAGTCAGTAGTGAGCGCTGTACGAAACACGACTGGTTCGTGCCAGAACACGACTCAGTAATATGCAGACAATAGTCAGTAGTTTTTATGTAGCGCTCTCTACTGTCCCAAACATTCTAACCTCATTTTCTTTCAAAGCAGTACTGAGTACTGCACAAAGTAGTAATTAGTGTTGTTTTTTTTTTCTTCGTGTAGCCAAATTTCTTTTCTACATCTCAAGGATTCAGAAAATGTATTCATTTATATATAAATACTTTTTCTCGGGGGTATATGTATGAAGGATGCAGGCTCTTTTTTCGAATGCATTCGCTGGTTGGTGTTGCTTTTCACGGAAGAAACTTGATTATTCTGACATTCATGGAATCATTGATAGATCGTACAAGTCATTTGCATACATTCGATTTGGACAAGGAAACTATGGTTGTCACTCCTCTAACTGGAGACATACCTCTGTCAACTAGCCCATTTAATTTCATAATTCATGATCATTATTATTACACTGTTGGAGCTAACAGAGATGACAAGGAATATTCTGACGTCTATCGACTCAACACGACGACTTTTAAATGGGAGTCTGTGTACAAATGCACTGGCTTGGATCGTAATGAACCTAGAGGACGACGAGGTCATACTTTAGCATACGACGGGAGTAAAATTTATATTTTTCGTGAGACCCTAAACTTCAGTTATATCGTTGGCAAGGCAGAAGCTGTCGATAATTTTGAGGTAATTTTTAATGATACTGAAATTTCCATGATACTTAAGAATAGCTGACTTATATAATCTCTAATATTTTTTTTCAACAAATAAATTTTTATAAAAAAAAATTTTCTGAACAATTCCACATGTAGATATCTCAAAAAGTGATTGTTGTAAATTTTTAAAAAATGTTTTCTTAGTAATAATTTATTTGTTGTAAAAGTCCAAAAAATTACAATGAAAATTAAGTTAACCGACGTTTAAAAATTTTTCATTTTTTTTGTTGAAAAAATTATTACAAAAAATTTTCACTTGTAAAAAACTTCAAAAACTGTAAATGAAATTTTTTAAAAATGTTTTTTTGTTTTAATTTAATTATTTAAAAAAAAAATTAAAAACGTCGGCTAACTTTAGTATCATGTAACAATTCATGACACTGAAATTATCAGACACTTGACAATTTTTCCTATTTTTTTTTTTTTCAAATAGACTAGCTTTAGACAATTAATTTATAAAAATTGCCTTTATAATTTTTTACAGCTTCTATAGATAGAATTTTTTAAATAAATTATTCTTGCTAGTGACAAATTCGTTAAAAAAATTCTAAAAACTATCCGATATCTTTCAATGTCAGTGTCATAACAAATTAATTATTATTATAAGAAAATATTTTTAAAAATTCACACTAATAATTTCTTTAAATTTCTACAAGTCGATTTTTTTTTTTCATTACAATTTAATTGTTATATAAATCTAAAAAATTGTTAGATGTCTGTTAAATTCAGTATCATAATTTTGACTTTATTATAAAGTATTGATTAATTTTGGATTTAATTATTTTATTTTTTAACAGAAACTTCCTGCATTTGATTTAACTACATGCAAATGGACGAGTGTCGAGACTTATGGAGATAAGAAACACAGGCCGCGATACCCGAAGAATAACCGAGGAGCCTTTGCGTTAACGCAGTACACAGATCCGGTGTATTACCGATTCCTGTTGATTTTCATTCAATGTATGCTACTCCGGAAGGACAGTTATTTGTGTATGGAGGATTCCGTGATCAAAATACTCGGTGTGGAGAGGTAATTGTTTTTAATTAGAAATAAATTATAATTCAGAATTGGAGCTATCAATTATTGGATATTAAAATTTTGTTTATATAGGACTGTAAGTCGTGTTCTACAGCAGTACACAGCGCTTGGGTGACGGTTCCGAAGCTTGAATACTTGTGCTGGAAAGCTTGGCAACATCACCACCCAGATTGGGCTGCTAAGTCTCGGAGACAGGTTGCACGATTACAATTACCATGGAAATTTTTCGAATCGAGACTCCATAAAATTTTGTAGACCTTTTATATGATTTATGATCAAGCAAACAGCCTGATCATAATAATGATTAAGTATTGGTGCTAATTTTTTGTATTAATTATTTACATTTTTAAGTTTTAAAATCTGATTGAATGCTCAACCCTCAAAAAGTTTAGATGTTTTTACTTAATATAATTATTTGTGACTTGTTTGAATAGTTTTTTGCTATGAAATATTATTAAATAACCAAAGATATTCTATCAAACTCTTATTTATAGTTATAGTAATTTTTATATTATGAATTTATGCTAAAACATTTTCATTAGACTCTAAGAAATTCTGTTAATTTTGGATTAATATTTAAAAAATTGTTAACATAGTTTTTGCCCTTGCAGAAAAAATGTCTTCATTTTTTTATTTAATATTTAAGCCGAGAGAAAAAATTTTTCTTGAAAAATATGAGCAATGTTATAGTAATAAATTAACTTGTTGAAGATTTTAAACAATTTTATTTCTTAGCTGAAGAAATGAAAATTTTTCTCACAGTAATTTTCTGTTAAAAAAAAAATTATCTAGATTTTGGAAAAACCAATTTTGAATGGAAATTCACAAGTTGTTTATTTAAAAATGTTTTTTTTTTTTTTTTT